AGTTGATTTATTAATTGGTGCGGAATCCTTTTTTGAGCTAATAAAACCTGGGCAAATTTACCCTCCTAACTCGAATTTAATCTTACAAAATTCTGTGTTTGGTTATTTAGTTAGTGGAAGCATATCAAATATGGAGGATAATAAAATCCATTGTGGGTTAGTTAAAGAAACTCTTGATTTAGAACAAACTGTTAGAAGTTTTTGGGAGATAGAAAATATCGAAACTGAAATAATTGAGAGTAAAGAAAAAATTATTTGTGAAGAACATTTTAAAAACAACTGTGCTAGAAATTCTGAGGGACGGTACATAGTAAAGATGCCTTTAAAAGAGGATCCTAAGCATTTGGGAAAATCTAAAGAGTTTGCGTTGAAGAAATTAAATCTGATGTGGAAACGTTTAATTAAGGAGCCAAATTATTTATCTTTATATAAAGATTTCCTTCATGAATATTTAGAGATGGGACACATGTCAGAAATTTCGGATGATGAGGAGGAAGAGGCCACTTACTACATTCCCCATTTAGGAGTTTACCGCCCTGATAAGCAATCAACTGTCCTAAGAGTTGTTTTTAATGCGAGTTATCCTACCTCAGCTGGTAATTCCTTAAATTCTTTGCAATTAAATGGAGGCATAGTTCAGAGTGATTTATTTTCCATCATGACAAGGTTCCGTAAATATGTCTATGCCTTCACAGCAGACATAAAGAAAATGTACCGAATGATCTTAATTGACCAAAGCCAAAGAAAATTGCAGCGTATTCTTTGGAAAGAAAAAGAGAAAGGACCTGTCAAAACCTACGAGTTGAATACCGTCACTTACGGTACGGTGTGTGCACCATTTCTAGCAACTCGTACATTAAAGCAAATAGCTATTGATGAAGGAGAAAATTATCCTCTTGCTGCTCCAGTCATTGAAAATGATTTCTACATCGATGATGTGTTGACCGGCTCTGATAATTTAGCAACTGCAAAGGAACTTAAAAATCAGTTAATTGGTATTTTAGGAAATGCTGGCATGCAACTCCACAAATGGCATAGCAACTGCGCAGCGTTAGTTTCTGATGGTGAAGAAATATATAATTTTACTAACTGTGATGGAACTCAAGTGCTAGGAGTTTCCTGGAGTCCGAAGAAAGATAGTCTTTATTTTAAAGTTACCTGTAGTGCATCACATAGAAAAGACTCGAAAGTTACGAAGCGATGTGTCTTATCCACAATTGCACGCCTTTTCGACCCCCTTGGATTGCTTGGACCAGTAGTGTCAAAAGCAAAGATATTTTTGCAACAGCTATGGTCTTTAAAACTGGACTGGCATGAAGAACTGCCTGAGAAACAAATCCAAGAGTGGAAGAAGTTTGTCGAAGCTTTAAAGAGTGTTAACAACATGGAATTTGATAGATGTATACTTACAGAGGGAGCTGACATGATTGAAATTCATGGATTCGCCGACGCGTCAGAGGTTGCTTACGGTGCTGTTGTTTACTGTAAGTGTGTTAAAAATGGTCAAGCAGCGACTATCAAATTGATTGCTAGCAAAAGTCGTGTATCACCTTTGAAAAGAGTAACCATCCCAAGACTAGAACTTTGTGCCTCACTGCTTCTAGCCAAATTAGTGAAAAAAGTGATAAAAGCTCTTGATTTGCCTATATCCAACATATACTTATGGAGTGATAGCATGATTGTGCTTTCTTGGATACGTAAGGAGTCATTTCTACTTAAGACTTTCGTTGCCAATCGTGTATCCCAGATTCAAGACTTAACTAACATTGACAGTTGGAGATATGTACCATCAACTGAGAACCCTGCAGACATTATCTCCAGAGGTCTCGATCCTGATAAACTTTCACAATGTAGATTGTGGTTTGAAGGACCAAATTTCTTGTGTAACAGTGAATATCCAAATAGAGACATTCCATCCAGAGTTATTGAAGATGAATTTTCTAATGAATTTAAACCATCTAGTGACTTTAATTGTTTTATTAGTGATAATGGTAATTTTCTTGATAATTTTCTGGAAGTTAGTAATAATTATAGTAAACTCATTCGTGTATTAAGTTTTGTATATAGGTTCATCGATAATTGTCGGAGCACTTATGACACATCAACTGGGTCTTTGTCTCCAGATGAACTTAAAAGAGCTGAACTGAAATTGGTAAGTTTAGTGCAGAAACGGGAGTTCAGCAAGGAAATCAGAGATTTAGAAATTACAGGTGAAGTTTCAAAGCAGAGTAAGGTAAGAAATTTATGTCCTTTCATTGATAAAGAAGGTCTCTTAAGAGTAGGTGGACGTTTGTCCAATAGTAATTTGTGCTTTGACAAAAAATTCCCATTGTTGTTACCAGAAAAACATAAATTAACACAATTGATAATTATTAGTAATCATATTAAGAATTTACATGTTGGACCTCAAACATTATTGTTTATTATAAGGCAAAGATTTTGGCCAATCAATGGCAGATCTATTTGTAGAAAAGTAGTTCGTGAGTGTTTGTCGTGCTTTAAAGCTAAACCAATAACTTGTGATCAACTTATGGGTGATCTACCCAAAAGTCGTGTGAGTCAAAACTTTCCATTTGCCATTTCAGGTGTGGACTTTTGCGGTCCATTTACAATTAAATACAAGAACCAACGGAAAGGTACTTTTCAAAAAATTTATGTCGCGATTTTTGTATGTTTCGTCACAAAAGCGATTCATTTGGAGCTTGTGACAGAGTTGAGCTCTCAAGCATTTATAGCTACATTAAAGAGATTTTTTTCGCGTAGAGGAAAAAGCAGTATTCTGTACTCAGATAATGCGACTAATTTCGTTGGGAGTAATAATGAGTTACAGCGATTATTTAGCTTAGTTAAAAATCCTGATAAGAGTTTATGTAATTATATGAGTCATGAAAATATCAAATGGAAATTTTTGCCACCTAGGAGTCCGAATTTTGGAGGGCTCTGGGAAGCTGGAGTGAGATCCTTCAAATATCATCTGAAAAGAGTAGTGGGTGATAAGAAATTAACTTATGAAGATTTTTTGACTGTAACTACTCAAATTGAGTCCGTTTTAAACTCAAGACCGCTTACCCCGTTATCTTCAGATGCCAATGATTTGAGCGTTCTCACTCCAGGCCATTTCCTGATCGGAAGACCGTTCACATCAATTGTTGAACCAGATGTAACCAATGTATCTGATAATAGGTTGAGTTTATGGCACAAAACCACTAAATTCGTGCAATTAATATGGAAAAAGTGGCACAAAGATTATTTGTCAACTTTGCAACAAAGGTCGAAATGGTACATCGATAAACAAAACATTAAAACTGTATATATGGTTTTGATGAAGGAAGATAATTTGGCTATATGTAATTTTCCAATTGGTAGAATTGTGGAGGTCTTTCCGGGAAAGGATGGCAGAGTTCGTGTTTGTAGTATTAAAACGAACAAAGGGATCTTTAAAAGGCCCATTTCCAAGATTTGTTTATTGCCAATTGAATGAATATTTTTTTTAAAAACTTTATATTACTTTTCATAATCATGTAAAATGTGAAATTTGTGTAATAGTAGTAATATTGTTGATAGTTGTAGTAATATTGTTGATTGTTAAAACAATGCAACGCCCGGCGGTATGTATCCGCACGGATTTGTAGCGCCACCTAGTATAACTTGTAACACTGAGTGAGAGTGTGTGTGGAAGGAAAGCTGTAACGAGCTACAAAAAAGCTCTCTTCCAAATAATAATAAATAAATATTGTGCAAATATACAGTCCGCTTTTTTTCTGTTTATTGAGCGAGTTCGTATTTACCTGAGCGTCGACAGTTATAACAAAACAAATAACAGGGTGGCCACTTAAATCAGATTTCAAATTTCCCTAATTTTTCCAGGTTTTCCAGATAAAAATCTCAAAATTTACAGGTTTTAGTTTCTTTATTCTAATAAAGTGTAGGATGTGGGTACAAGAAAAGTGTCTATATTATAAAATATTTTATTCAAAATATTATTTTTTTAACATATCTTGAAAAAAATTATTTATTTTAAAAATTTGGCAAGATTTTTTATTCATTTTTTAATGTTTTGGTACAAAATTTTGAATCAAAAATCATATATTGACCAACAAAAGAGTAAAATTAAATATTAGTATATAGTTAGTTCTTAAAAAAAAAAACCTTTTTTTAAAATTAAAATATGTTATAAAAGGTTAAAATGAAATAGAAAAAATTAGCATTAATGCAACAATTGTAACAATTTGTCGATAAACATTGCTGTTAGCGATTGTAAAAAAAAAATTTGTGATTGGTTGGTTTGTTGAGAAAAAATAATTCACAGATTTCTTTTAATGGGAATAAAAAAGCTTTCAGAAAAAGAGTGCAATATAAAATCTATTATTATTATTAAATTATAACCAGCAAATTTTTGGAGAATTTTATGAAGTTAAAAATACAAAAACATTTTGTCAAAATGGAAAAAAATTACCACAAAAGCATTGGAACAAACTTAAGCCATAAATGGATTCAACCCAAGGACAGAATTTAAAACCGAAGCTAATATCCTAATCCCTTCTTCCACCTCCCCAACAATCTTTCCTAAATTGCAGTCCATAGCGGTCAAAGGTTTCCACATTCGTTTAGCAACAGTGGAAGAATTTTATGTGGCATTCTAGTTTAACACAGCTGTAATGGAGCAAATTTTGATGCAAGCAAAGTATTGCTAAATTGATGATATTTCAACTGCTTGGAGATACATTTCCGTCTAAAAAAAGTGGGTATAATGGCTGAAATAATTTAAATTAAGAAAATTAGTAAATAATTTAAATTAGTGAAATTAAAAAAATTTCCAGCTTTTTTTTAAAACTCTCTGATTTTTCCAGGTTTTTTCCAGTATAAAAAAAATTCCCTGATAATTCCAGGTTTTCAAGGTTTTCCAGGTGGGTGGCCACCCTGAAATAATTGCATAAGGAAAACAAATAACATATTTCATAACTAATAATGAAAACAGTAATAAAATGTTATTAATTTACCTCAATGATTTTATTGTCTTCTAACTGAACGGTGTGAGACCAAATTTGTGAATCAAGTATAGCAGTGAAAGATAAAGACAGACCTTTATACTCCTTAGAAGATAACAAAAATGCTGGAGACTTTGTTTTTGGAGCTAGTGATTTAATTGACATCACATTTGCATTACTCGGAGTTTCTGTAAGTGTCACAATATTAGAAAATTCACATTTGAACTGTATTGGGAAACTAAGTAGGTTTTGAACTGCCAGGTGCCCATCAATAATAACCTAAAATTTTAAGAGAAAGCTCAATAATTTCATTTTAATCAATTTTAAACAAGTTTTTGAAAGAATTGAGTTTAAAATAAATTCTTTCAGGAATTGAAAACATGTGTAGCAGAGTATTTAAGACAACAGCGATGATAATTTTATCCCGAAAAGGCAAGTTTCTTTCATAGAGTAAAAAATCGTGGAAGAAATCATAGAAAAAATCAGTCTGGAAGAGATTTGTTTTTTCCGACACAAGTGGAAGAAATTATTTTTTTTTTTAAAAAAAAGAATTTCTTCCACTTGTGTCGGAAAAAACAAATCTCTTCTAGACTGATTTTTCTAATATTTAAGATAATTTTTAAACATTTGATAACTGTAATCTTGTTTAAATAATTATAGGAATTTCCAAGCTTTTTAGTATATCATTTTTAAATAAGTGAAAACCAAAAGGCAGTGATTGGGAAAGAAAATAAATGCAATAAATTTTCTTAAAAAAAAAGTAAATATCCTAGTTCTTCAATATTTCACCTTAAGGATTAGGTAAAACCTAAATTTATAAAGAAACGTTAAAATATCATAATCAAAATTTATTAATACTACTTAATAAACAAATCATATATTAAATAAACATGCCATACATATATTAAATATTAAAATGTAAATCTATTGAAATATATGAATAATAATACAAACATAAATGCATTGAATATTATTGTATTCACAATTACAAATAGCATATTAATTTTTAATATCAAAAACTGATAAGACTGAATACTCAAACTGATTTATAGGTAACATGTTATTAAAATTTCTAAATTCGATAAAAAATTAAAATATATACAGTGAAACCCCGATTTTACGTTTCTCAGGGGACTGGGTAAAAAAAAACGTCAAATCCGGGAAAACGTAAAATACGGAAAATACTTAGATAGCAAAAAATCATATAATAATAATGGGAAAATAAAACAAACTAAAGGTAGTAAAGATGACTCTTTCAAAAGGTACTATTAAAATCTATATTTTACAAAAAGAATATTAGTAAAAAAAACATACCAGTTCAAGATCACTTTTACAATTTTTGTTAAGAATCATGTAATTTAGGTGCAAAATAGTGCGTAATAGTAGATTGTTTTTTAGACATTGAGTTCAAAGTAAATGCCTCATCTTCCAGGACTGAAATCTTTTGCAAATTTTTTTCCTGGTCTTTGTATGATAGAAAATAGTCTTTCACTATTAGCAAACTTCTCAATGCTGTGTTGAAAGAAGGAACGGGCTGTGCTTCTATTTCTTCTTGTTCATCTTCATCGGCGGATGAAAAGTCCATAACATCGTCCACGGATAGAGCAGTGGTTCTCTCAACTTCGCATGTTGCTAAGTTTTCTCGGATGTACTCGTCGAAGTCATAGCTAACTGTTTCATTGTCATTCTCCGAGTCTAGTCTATCTAATCCTGCATCTGTTAACGGTTTATTAGAAGCTACAATTCCGCTTTCTTCCAAACAGTGGGAAATGCACTTTTGTGTAACGCTTCTCCAAGCAGCAGAAATAAAATGCATAGCCTCCAGAACACTTAACTTTAGTTTGCAGGCGTCATTTAGGTTTTCGTTCTCTAGTTCAGCTACAGCTTTCCGGACAAGGTGCCTTCTGTAAAAAACCTTAAATGATCGAATAATGCCGAGATCACAAGGCTGTAATTTGTTTGTACAGTTTGCAGGAAAAAACTCAACACGCACATTAGATAGCTGCAAATCCGGATGTGCACTGCATTGATTGATGAACAAAATTATTTTGCGGTTCTGAAATTTCATCTTTTTATTCAGTTTCTGCAAAAAGTCTTCGAAAAGGGCTTTTGTTATCCACGCTTTTTTGTTTGCTTCATAATTTGTTGGGAAACTTCTCACGTTTTTAAAGCATCGTGGTTTGCGTGTTTTCCAACAACGAGTCCAGTCACCTTCTCACTTCCATCAGAATTACAGCATAGTAAAACCGTAAGACGCAATTTTGACATCTTCCCTCCGTGGCAGGAATCTCCCTTAGAAACGTAACTTTTATCCAGCAGAAGGTTAAAGAAAAGTCCGGTCTCGTCCGCATTGAATACGTCCTTTGGCTTGTATCCTTTGGTCAAATTTGGTAAATTTTTCTTCCATTCTTCTATTGTAGCTTCATCTACGCTTGATGATTCTCCGGAGAGCGATCTATACACAAGATTATGTCTTTTTTTCATCCGGTCAATCCAGCCTTTGGAAGCTGTAAAGTCTTTTAAACCAAGTCTATCGGCGATTTCTAGAGCTTTTTCTCTTAATATGGTGCCATTTACAGGTACATTAGCGTCACGAGCCTCTTTAAACCATTTTACTAAAATCCCTTCCATCTCGTCGTACGGGGATTTTTTCATTGTTCTCCGTTTCTTGGCATTTTTTTCACCGACTTTTTCAAAGTTTTTATCAATGCATTCTTTTTTCTGTAGTATGGATTGCAGGGTTGTTACGGGAATTCCTTGCAATTGTGCGAATGCTACTTTTGTTCCATGAAATTCATTAAACTGCTTAACAATTTCGGCTTTCTCAGCAACAGAAAAGTTTTTGCGTTTTTTGCTCACCAGTTTCGTACGAAAGGGTTTGAAATGCGACCACCTTGTGCTAAACAACAACAGAGTCTGAAAAGCTGTAGAAACGTAAAGATCCCCTTTGCTTTCCAAGGAAGAAAATAAGTCACTACATCTGATTGGTAACTGGAGTGTCTCTTCTCCTATCTGTCTTATTCCTGCACCAATGAAATGTGTTGTTTCTGTACTTTGTTTCTTCGCCCGCTGCCTTGTCCGAGACAGGCAGCAGGTGTTCAACAAAGGAACGGGGAGAGAGGACTAAAGTTCTAGAAAACAGTAGTCTGTGGAATGCGTTTCTGCTTTCATAGATTTACTTTCAACAACGTGGATGAGCTTTAAAAAAGCAAACATAGAAAAAATATTGGTTATTAAAACATTTTTTTTAATTTCTACAAAAAACGTAAAATGCGGGAAATTCCGTAAATTAAAAACTTACAATCCGGGTAAAATTAACATTGGAGGTATACGGAAAAACTGGGTCCTGATGAAAAATACGTAAAATGCGGGAAAAACGTAAATTCGGGGGACGTAAAATCGAGGTTTTAACTGCAGTATGCAAAAAGTTATTTTTCTAAAAATTAGATGTCAAAAACTTTTAACTCTCTGGTACTGTTACGAATGAATTCTATTACGGCGGAGCCAATCCGTCGCCAATCAAAATATTCTTTGTTTAGTTGTTCTTGATACACTCACGCCGAAAGGAGCACATCTCGAATGCTCCTCTTGATTTAATTCTCATGAATATTATTTTTGTTTTCAATCATTTCAGTCTAATTGTTATTTTTTGTTATGTTTTGACAATAAATATAAAAAGCACATATTGACTATTTATTGATACTAACCAGGGAAGATAATGGTAGAAATATATTGCGTAGATCTTGGCAGTATGCAAATCCAAATCTCGAATTAAGTTTTCTATCATTTTTGGACCCAGAAATCCGAGATTTAATTTGGATAAATTATTATACGTGCTTTTTTTTGGATTAATTATTATAAGTGCTTTACTTTGGATTCAAGAAAGGATTACTTGAATTATTGGAATACTTGAAATGGAAAGCTTGAACTTAACAGGTACTGTACCTTTATTTATTTACAATGTCGAAATTGGAAACTATTGATTAATTTAAAGCAAAACGAAAGCTTGCTAGAACTAATTGTACTAAGTCAATTACGAAAATTGACACATTTGTACAGAATCTGAATTTTGAAGATGAAATTCATCAGAAACAATTATCAGAATATTTACTTGATCTCGAAGAAAAGCGAACTGAGCTAAAAAACCTTAATGAATCAATTGAGGAACTAATCACGGATAATGCTGTTTTTGAAGCAGAAATTAAAAATTCTATGGAATATGATGAAAACATAAGTGACTCCAAAATGAAAATTAAAATGTTGTTAACAAAGTTTAAAATAAAAGAATCAGTTTCCACTAATAATGTTAATGTTCCAAATGTTAATGTTTCGAATGTTAATGATAGTAAAAATATTCCGATTTCTATTAATTTGCCTAAACTTAATATTCCAACTTTTAATGGTGATTCAACTACATTTTTAGAATTTTTTAATAGTTTCAGTAGTGCTATAGATTCTAATGAATCATTAAGTAATATTGATAAATTTATTTACTTAAAATCCTTTCTTTCTGGGGATGCTTATAAAACAGTAGCAGGTTTTGCTTTAACAGAAGAAAATTATAAATCGCGTTTAAAGATAGATATGGAAAATCGGAACATTTAATTAATTGTTTTGTAAATAAACTCTTGGAAATCAAACCAGTTAAATCTTCTTCAAATATTCAGGGGCTTAGGCATTTGTATGATGAAAGTGAAATCAGTATAAGAAATTTACAATTTATGGGTGTAGCATCCGAGTTCATGTCGAAAATGGATCTAAAAAATTACTAGCTCCAATACTTTTATGATTCTGCTTCTCAAAAATCTTTTATTTGAAAGGATTTGGGCTTTGGCTAAACATTAAATGCGAAAAGTTTAAGAAAAGAAAAACTTTTTGCTTACACATTTTCAAATCGAAATCCTTCGGAAAAGGAATATGAATGTGTTAATATCACATTACGCAGCAGGTTTCCCCCCCACTCAAGTATAAATATTGAAGCCTTAATTACCGAGGAAATACGCGCTGCTCAATTATATTCAGAATTTGATCCTCAATTAATACAAACTTTACTTTCTCAAGGATTTTAAATCGCTGATTCATGGGATGATAAGAAATCCATTCAAATATTGTTAGGTGCTGATTTCTTATATTCCACTTTAAAGGATGAGTTATTGAAAATAGGCAATAGATTATTCCTTCAGCCGACGTTGTTTGGAGATTCTTTAGTAGGACAGGTGCCAGATGGTCCTTTTAAGGGTGTGGCTTCTTGTTTTAACATTTGTTGCACTTTAGTTGAT